GTACTTTGTTTCGTATATGCTTTTAAAATCTCGTAGTAATTTTGGTTGAAATAGGACTACGTTTTACATGTATCAAAATTCACAAATTCAATAAAACAGTTGCAAAGGATAGAATAGTTAGCAGGCGTTTCGGCCTCCGAAACATCTAGAGACGTGTAACCAGCGGCCCTATTCACTGAATAAATGAATAAGATTTTGAATGGATCTGGCACGGTATAACTTTCTAGTATCGCATCTTAAATAAGGCCTTCATACAGAGAAATACTGTTAGAACTTTATATGTACAATTCATATCTATACATAGTAATAAAATTGGAGTGTCTGTATGTAATCTCGAGAACATCAATTATGCCTACTAACTGTGGGTAAATTCTACAAAAAATAGATGCTGCATTATATTTCCTTGACCTACGCAATAAAAAAGTAAGTGCCTCGTTCATACCTACTATAAAACTGAGTCAATGTTTACACAAATTCCCGAAGAATCACAACCGCTCATGAAGCCACCGACTGAATACACTCCGCGAGAAAAACAGATATATTTTAGTGTGACCACGCAATAACATAACGTAGGACAAGTTTCTTACGAGATAAATCGTCGAAAAAATCTTTTATGATAACACAATATAGAACAAATGACAAATAAAACAGTGAATTTTCAACAATTTATATTCCACGACTTAATATAGTACGTACAGACATCACTTGTTAACCGTTAAAACTGACATGGTTTAAGTAATCGATATCCGTCTGACCTTAAATCAGAATATAAGGCTTTAGTGCCAAAGTTTAAAGTAGATTTCTGTTTAATATACTTGTAATCATGTCACATGCGTTAATACGATGAAAAAGATGCTTTCTTAGTGATTGATTAAAATTAAAATTAATAATTTTAAAACAATTTTATCTTTTCAAATACGGTAATATATTATACCATAACTGTTTTAATTGTTTTATAAGTAATAAGCCGATTTTGTAGTGGTAACGTAGATAAATGTTAAAAATATAATATAAATTCAAGGATTATAATGGTCACCCTACAAATCTTGAAGTGAAATACTGATGATTCATTTCGTTTCGCGTATATTCCAGATGTCAGTTATCTCCGGTAGATTATGTACCATTATGTGTCTTCCGATCAAAGGAGAGCAACCATTATTGTCAAAAATTAACACGTTCATTGCCGCTTCCATTTTTTTTTGTACTAAAGTGAACTCGACAAGCGAACCATTGAGGCTAACCGTAGGTTTCCGAGACCATATTCCCCTTTCAAAACATATTGACAGAGATGACGATAAGAGATTACGTCTAAGAAGGTAAGGGTATAAAGAATGGGTAATTAATTAACTCCGTATAAAACCGCGGGGAAAATCTAGTTGCAAGCATCTATCTTACAGGTGATGTCTATGCAACGGTCACTTTGCCATTCTAGCGATATTAGGCCACTCCTTCGTTAAGTACCATAGACTGCCAGAATATTTTTTTTACTATCAATGAACTGGTACAAAAATTCTAATGACTAATCATAGATCAGAATCCAAACAATATATTTAAAGATAACATAAAAACACTATCAAACTACTAATCAAGATTAATTTACACGATGTTATTTTATCTGTTCTATAATTAACAATGCACTACAAAACCAATTAATACAATGATAATGGAGTAGGCGTTGCAAAATACGCGGCCATAGACAAGCCGCCATCGTAGATAAATAAATAAAATTGATTGATTGATCAAGTTCAAGTTCATTGTTTATATTTTATTAACATTTATATTTATTACTAGCGCTAGCCCGTAACTTCGTCTGCGCAGAAATAAAAACGTATCCTATAATCTGCCCGCGTGCTTCATCTACCTTCCCGTCCAGGTCCCGTTAAAATCGGTCTAGCTGTTCCCGAGATTACCCGGAACAAACGCGGCCTTGCAGACAGCCATACAGACACACAAACAGACAGACAGCAAAAATGTTAAAAATTTGTTTTTTGTATCAGCAAAGGAGTCATTACTAGTACGAAATATTTAGTAAATCGATATTACGTACAGTTTATTATAAAACTACGGATTTTTTGGCGCGATCCTGGCACTTCACTATCGCTAGTCAATCTATTAAACGTCGGGAGAAAATGTAAATGACGTAATCCACAATTGTTCGGTGACTTATACAAGAAAGTCACATATCCAATAAACCATATATCGAGTCGTAAGACTTCCGTTGCCTAGGCGGGATATATAAGTGTAGGAATAACAAACTCAGTTAAAGCGATAAGATCGACACAAACGCGACAATTTTGGAGATGAAAATAGAATAGTAATCAGTTAGTTTTGGTTATAAATAGATTTTACACAATGACTTATAGTCTATTTTTAAGTATGCTAATGAAAATGACTTACAGTTTTTTATTTAAGATGACAGGAAAAAGAAAATTTCAATATAATATTAAAATAAGAAACCAAATAGAATTCGTAAACTTGACTAGCCTGGAATTTCTACCACTTTAAGATAATAAGAAAGTATACTCATTACAGAGCATCGGTGGCTCAGGGGTCAAGCGCTTGACTTATAAACTGCAGGTCCTGGGTTTGAATCCCGCCATGTACCAACGTGGTTTTCCATTTCCGATTTACAAATGTACATTTATCCGACGTTCTTACAGTGAAGGAAAACATTGTGATACAACCTGCACATATCTGAGAAGAAATTCAAAGATATATGTGAAGTCAACCAACCCGCACTTACACCGACTAAATGCACTAAACATATAAAGAAGTTGAAGCACAATACCTTGCCTTTACAAACCTTAGAAACAATTATTAGTAAATCAGTAAGCCTATCATCATCTCACAGGCCTTACCTGGCCGGGAGCTTAAGGTAACATAAACCTCAATGATTTGACTTAATATTTACAACTGGCAACCTGTTGCCAACCACTTGGATAAAAGAAATTAATAAATTAAATTAATTCATCAAGCCTATGTATAGAACATTAAACATTGCTCTAAAAATAACTACAACATTCATTTAAATACATAATTGGCGCTTCTGATGTATAAACAGAGATAGCGAACAAGGCCACAAACTTTTAGATACACATTTTAATGATACAAATTATCTATCTTGATTAATATTTTGAATACAGATTCAACTATGTAGCATATAATTACAGTTTTTTTTATCGTTAATTTAATAATATTACTATTTGAAGTAAGCTTACACTGGGATGTAATTCATCACAATTCATCAACCTGCCCTTATCCTTACAGAGGGTCGGCACTGTATGTACTACTCCTCCATACAGCCTAACAGCCGTCTGATCCAAATCTACCCATTTCCTACACATATCTTCCTTCAGATAGTCATTCCATACTTTTTTGGTCTTCCTCTACCTTTGTAACCATCCACATTCAATCTCATTACTTTTTTGCTTTGTAGTATATCACAATTGCCTACGACACAAAAATGATGAACATGAATATGTAAATAGTATTAAAACATAAGACAAAAAGTTTAGTTTAAATGGAAAATATGAAGTACTAGCTTTTGTCCACGACTCTATCCATGTCGAATTATAAAAAAAACTAACTTAATAGCTATGTGTTTTTCCAGACTATGTTCTACATCTATGCCAAATTTTATTAAGATCCATTGACCCATTTTGGTAATGTCTTCCACAACCATCCATCAATACAAACATTTGCATTTATAATGTTAGTAAGATAGCAGATTCTATATGAGTTTTAAATATTATAAATATTTATTTCATCATTTACAGTGCATATGTATTTTAAGTTTGTATGCACTAAACTTTGTCTATAGTTGAAAATGTGTATAAAATTTTCTAATCTAGATAAGTGCTAGTGACGGACCACAATACTTTTCTTAGTTATAGAGGCAGGTTGTCTGTATAATATTACTTTTGTTGACTAACTTAAGGCCTGTTCACATAAATTGCTGAATAATTAACGAACAAATAAAATAACTAACATATAATACCTGATAAAATAGTTTGTATTTCACAACTTATTTGGAGATTGTGAAATGTCAATGATGACTTTAATTGAAAAATAAGTTCCAAGTAGCTCATCTCGGACTTATTTGGACATTGTGGCTCTTTGATGAATATCAAAATATTATGACTAAAATACTTTCATTTCTTTTTTTTTTATAAGAGAAGGGGGCAAAAGAGCGGCGGAAACACCGAGGTGATCAACGACACCCATGGACATCTGCAACACCAGAGGAACTGTAGATGCATTGCCGGCCTTTAAGGTTCTCTTTGCAGAATAGAATCAAATGCAATATGTATTATATTTTCTGTGCTATGATTTTAAGGTTTTTTTTTACACTATGAGTATTTAATAACTTTCTACCAAGAATATTTTCTTTAAATCTACTTATTATAATATGTTACTAGCATTTTGAATATAAAATGTGAGTATATTCTTTAAGACAAGTATTTCTAACAATTAAAAAACACAATACTTTAGGTTTGGAATGCACCCTCTTATCCAAATGTAATTACGGCTTACATTATCAGAGTATAAGAAATCAGAATGCACCGATGACTCAAGGGTTAGACAATTCTTGATATGGGTATTTGACATGTATTTTAACAGAAATAAAGGTTATTTTTCTAAAATTTTGTAGAGGGATTTTTGAATATCAGATGGTACTGGCTTGTCATAGTCACTGAGTAAGGTACATATTAACTACAGTGTGGCTATCAGTAGACTGATATAAGCTGATGATAAATAAATTAAAATCGGCATAACTATATACATCCTCAGTCAGAAATGTTTAAATATGTACAGTCAGCTGAAATTTGTATACATTATAGGTATGAAATATATGTATATACATGTCCAGTATATGATGATGATTAATAACGGTTGAAAGCATACAGACAGATAAATGCCTACATATTTTTGAAACTGAATGTATACATATTTAGGCTGCTGACTGTACTTTGATACTAATATAAATATGTAAGTTTTACCAGCAGGTGGGTGTGGCGTTGTCCACGGTGTCTTGGTTGGCCTGCGAAGGAGACTCGGCTCCCCGCGCGCCACCCGCCACTGAGGAAGCCGTGGTGCCGCGCTGCTCCTTCACTGACCCCGCATCCTCCCTCACTGTTCGCACAATCGCAACCGCACTGATATTATCTCCAACTTAACGACACCACTATTTGCATCTCTACCTGAAACCACCACTACACTTTAACGCACTGCCGATTGCCTTACCACTTTTTCCAATGTACGAAGTATTCGATATCACTGACACTCGTCACTCGGCACACGAGAATCTCTAGCGTGCCATGTAAAAATCACCACCGAGTGGTGCGATCACGCCCAAAATCATCACACACGGATATATTCAGCATAAAAATGGCAACCTTCAAAAATAATGACCCGACTAATCTCACAAGTCCACCATGGAATATTGTAATATTTATAAACTTTCACAGGTTAATTATAGACCAGACGCTACTTTTAACGTTTGAACATAAGTAAAAGTTAAGAAAATAATATTTATAAATAGCTTGAGATTATTTTGATACAAATCTATATCGGTCAAACATCACTTCATACACACCCTCGATTTGGGTGGAGCAGATCCTCTTCTTTCTCTTTATTAAACGTTTAACATACGAAAATTAGCACGTATTAGTTAGTAAGACTACAATTAAATGACCTACACCCTGATAACTACAAAGACATTTTTGTAGCAATGACAGCGATCCGTATCGGCTTCACAGAACCTACAGAAAAAAATCAACATGTCGCCTGCTGTGATATTACAGAAAGGTGTTTTATAGTGGCAAGTTCAGTAAATCGAGATAAAGGGGCGTGGTCAGCTGAAATCGAGATTGTTTAAACCTGATGTAATCATTGTCGTCCGATTATTAATTAAAGATAAGTTATTCCTTAATTAAGAAGAGAAAACATCTTAAAGTTTTCAGAAGGTAAGTGTTTCTACTACTTCCTGAATCGCTAGTTGGACAATTCTTATATAAACTTTATTTTTACAATTACTTGATGATGTTTCTACTGTGATTAAGAAAATCAGTTTTTGAAAGCGTTAATTTTAGGTATCCCTAATTTTCAGTCCTTGTATTAATATCCATCCCAATAGGACTTTTAATTAAATCAGTGAAGAACAACGATTAGCTATCTGTATTTTTATGTTATCTTTTTGTATTGTCAGTTGTCAAATTGATTGGTTTTGATTGAGCTTACTTGTCAAAACCATTTGTGGCGCGGAGTTTTGTTGTATAAAAACTTAAGCATGTTAGTAACTAAGCTATGTTAAGTTTATGAATAACTAACAGATTTAAAAAATGACTACATACAATAAAACACTTCGATTATTAGCTTCGAAATTAGGTCTTCAAGACGAAGAGAAAGTTTTGAGGTATGAATTTTTTTTAAATTTAAACCGAATTGGAGACTGCTTTATTCACGATATTCACCAGAAAACTTCACAATTACAGGAAAGCGGCAGAATTGGAGCGTCTTTTACAAACCAAGACGATTGCGGGTAGCAATATAACTGACAACAGTAAAATGGTTATTTGTCTAGATTTAGCCGCAAATATATATGGCGTAGATTTAGATCTGGTTAGTATGATTAATTTTAAATAAAATACTTTTTAAAATAAAATAATGACTTCACATATTTCCACCTTTATAATTGTGTAACAGATAATTTCTCATTAATGTTAATTCAAGTTTTGTCTACTGAAAAAATAAGTAACTTAAAAGATTTTTTCTATGCTTTTGTATTTCTGTTAAGTTATGTAATGTTACTCTTTATATTATATTTCAGAAAACAGCAGTCAAATATTCAGGACTCAAACAACCAACATATGTAAATTCAAGAAAAATATTGGAAAATCTTTTAGAACTAAATGATGATAAAATATCAATTTCATTTTTATGTATATCACTTCAATGCACTGAGGTGCAGGCATTAGCTGAAGATATTCTAGAAGAGTATAAGAAAAAATCTAAAATGGTAAAAAGTAATAATATGAACATTACATTTTCACAATGAAACATACATTCTTATTGTAGACTAGCTGTTGCCCGCGACTCTGTCTGCACAGAATTAAAAAAAACTAAATGGGTAGCCTATATGTTCTTCCATGCTATATTCTATATCTGTGCCAAATTTCATCAAGATCTGTTGAGGCATTCCGGAGATATCATCACACATCCATCCATCTAAACATTTGCATTTATAATTTTAAGTATGATTTTTACTGCCATAACAACTTTACAAAAAAATTAATCATCATCTCCCTGCCCTTATCATACTCATATAGAGTTAGGACAGCACATTTTGTCTTCCTAATTAATCTCTCGTCCATCATCTTAGTATTCACTCCCTTTTTGATAATGTGCCCTGACCAGTCTATTCATTCATAAAAAAATTGTATTCTCTTAAAAAACATATGCCAGTATTTTTCTATGCATATGCTCAACTGATGTAATATATTAATTATTTATTATTTGTTTCAGGATATTGATATAAATCTACCACAGTATGTCTGTATGGCTGTATACCATGCTTGCAGGTAAAGGACTTTCTGTGTTTGTACTAAACTATTTACTTACCTGGAATACACTTAGCCTAAAAAAATGGTATAATTTTTATTTTATTTATTACTCTGTATCCTTTTATTTCAATTTGGATTAAAAAATAAAATAATCTTGAAGTGTTCTTTTAGACGAGCTGTCGCCCGCAACTCTGTCCTTGAAGAATTAAAAAAAACTTAAGTAGCCTATGTGTTCTTCCAGATTATGTTCTACATCTATGCAAAATTTCAGTAAGATCCATGCAACCATTCTGGAGATACCTACAAACAAACATCCATCCATACATCAAAACTTTCGCTTTTATAATATTAGTATAATAAAATGAATAGTTTTCTTTTCTTGGATTACAGAATAAATAAGGTTAAAATAACAAAAAGCAAAATAATTGAGAAGTCTCGTATGAAGCCGTCACAATGGAGTAAATTAGATGCAGAATGGAGTAAATTTGTTAATGATAATTTTGCTTCTGTTAAAAAGACAAAAGGTCGACCTCGGAAAGAAGAAATAGAAGGTATGTGTTGTATAAACTTTTTACCGTTACTTCCATAAAATTAAAAAGATATCTAGGATTAAATAATAACACTATAAGTTAAAAAAAATTGTACAAAGCAACAGTGATTTTTCAAACACTCAAATGTACAAGACTAGTTTTTAACCTGCTGTATTTAAAACAATCATCCAAACTACATTCTACATGTATGCCAAATCAGTAAGATCTGTTTAGCCGTTCTAGATTTACCTTCTAAGAAATATCCATCAAAACTTTTGCATGTATATATGCATGTGTAATCCTTATATATATATTTCTTCTGTGAGTGTGTATGTCACTGAACTTCTCTCAAACAACTGGACCGATTTTGATGAAATTTTTTGTGTGTGTTCAAGGGGATCTGGGAATGGTTTAGATTCACAATTTTGTCCGCTGGGCAATGTTTTTATAATTAATTTTTAATTTATTAATAGTTGTTGATTTTGGAATGTTTTACATTGGATCCGACAGACGGCGCTACCATCGCAGTGTCAAATTGTCAGACAACGTCTGTCGGGTCCGCTAGTCTATATATATAAAATCAATTGCTGTTCATTAGTATCATTAAAACTCGAGAACGGCTGAACGGATTTATCTTGTTATGGCCTTGAAATGTTCGTGGAGGTTTAGGGAAGGTTTAACAGATGAGAAAAAATGGAATAATTGCGGGGAAAACCCTTAAAACTGCCCTTTTCTTTTTCCCATATAAATGGCTGAATGGATCTCGCTGAAACTCGGCATAGATGTAGAGTATAGTATGGAAGAACACATAGACTAATAATTGTTTCTTTTTTAATTACGAGCAGACGGAGTCGGGCGACAGCTAGTAGTTTATTATATTATTAAGATAAATATAGTTACTTTAAACAGAACTAAGATTTTTCTTTAAGAATTGAGTAACCACATAAAATAACCATATTTATTTTTGACAAATTTTAGATATTAACAATGGAACAGAAAATAAAACATTAATTAAAGAAGAACTAATAGATCTGATTGAACCTTATGATGTTTGGAAGAAACGTATACTCGAAGAGGCTTATAAAGAACTAATGGAATTAGAAGAAATAGAAAAAGCACAGAATGTTATGCCTATAAGACGGTCCCCAAGAAAAACTCCACAAAAAACTTCACCATACAAAACACCTATTAAAGGAAAGGGGATTAGGTTATTATTTCCGAGGAATTAAAATTTGTTTTAATTTAAAAGTGTTTTGTATATTTTTCTAGGTAAACTCGATATAATTTTTAAAGTCCAAAAAATTAAATTTTTGTTTCTTATTGAACTATTTAGGACACAAACCTATAATATATTGTTACATTATTCTGAAGTCAAAATCTGTTTTAAGGTTAAAGAGCGGTTTGAAAACAACCATAAAAGCATTAATTTATCGTTGTTTTCTGAAATCAAAATCTATGTTTCATCTCTGTTTTGTGAAAGACAATGAGAGGGATGACGATATTTTATTGTCAAAGATAAATAATTTATTTTTTATACAGAGATTTTAATGTCACAAACCAACGATTAGACGTTCAGAGATAAGTTAAATCACTATAAAAACGGTAATAGACAACTCAAATTTATTATAATACACCAAAATTACATCTACAAGGCCATGGTTCAATCATTATCAACAAAATGTTCTTAAAACTTATAACATTTTCTCTATATTTTACATTTGTACAATGTTTAAATGGGACGAACGTGACAATTTTACAAGGAAAATTGAATAACAGCGACATTATTTTCGAAGACCCGAGTCGTCCAAGCCTTGCGTATCCTACTTCTTTGGCTTTTCTTTTTATCTTCACGACTTTACTTGTAGGTGTACTAGTAAGAGCGGTTATGCTTTGGACCATTACTGTCCTTCCTTATAGAGTTATTATGTTCTCTTTGGGTGGTATAGCTGGTTTCTGTGCCAATAGATATCCATCTTTTAAACCTTACGTAGAAATCTGTTATACAGATATAGATATTATATTGTTAGTATTCCTCCCAGTGCTAATGTTTAGCACGTCCTACGCAGTCGATTCCCATTCCTTCTGGAAGAGCTTCCCTCAGATTCTCTTAGTTGGTACTTTTGGTACCTTATTAACTTCCTTAATGTTGGCATTCATGGCTTATTATTTGATTGAATCTTCTTGGAATTTTACTACTGCTGTACTTTTTGGTGTGGTATGTGCACCGATATACCCAACTGAAGTTGTTAAAAGGTTAAAAGAAATGTCACGTGGGAAATACATAAGTGTATTGTTGCTGGGGGAAGGCTTGATTGGAGATGCAACAGCTATGATTGAGTTTACAGCTGTATTTGGTTATTTAGCTATGGCTATAAATGAAGCATCTCAAATAGCTCTGCTTCTACTTAGATATGCTGGTGGTGGGATTCTTTTGGGTATAGTTACTGGCAGGATTATAGCAGCTTTGCTTTCTATAACTTATAACGATCTATTGTGTGCGGTAACCGTCACTTTAGCCGGGGCATATCTGACGTATTATGTTGGGGAGAAGTTCTTTTACGTGTCCGGTCTACTGGGGACTGTGATAGCCGGTGTGATTGTTAGTAGAAGAAAGTCGACTGTGGCTGGGGATGTGGAACAAGTTGTGGCACATTTCTGGAACATTCTATCGCATGCAGCGAATACCTTAGTCTTTACAATGGTTGGAGTAGTTATCTTTGAGAAAGTTAGCTACGTGATGAGTGTCAGACAAGTTTCTTTGATCTTCGTGACTTATTCTACTGTTTATTGTTCGAGGCTTATGGTATATTCTGCAATGACGCCGATTTTAAGGCACATTGGTTATGGAATATCATGGCAACACTCTATGGCTTGCGTTTGGGGAGGGTTAAGAGGACCTCTCTCTTTGTGTTTGGCATTGATTGTTCTACAAACTCCTGGAGTAGCGGATGCTGGTGAGGTAAGTGTGCTATCCCTAAATATTTATTTTACTAATATTATAAACGCGAATGTTTAGATGGATGGATGGATGTTTCTTTGAAGGCATCTCTGGAACGGCTCAACGGGCCTGCAATATAGTCTGGAAGAACACATAGGCTACTAATTAAGTTTTTATTAACTCCGCGCGGACGGATTTGTGGGCGACAGCTATTATATTTATAAGGATGAATAAGACTTTGATAAAGAATGAGACTCTTCTTCGAATTTTTTAGATATTTATCATACAAACAGCAGGCCTGGTACTACTCTCTTTACTTATTAACGCTATCACAATGGGAAAAGTACTCAAGATCTTAGGATTAGCAGAGATATCCCTCGCTAAGAAAGCTAACATGACGAATTGTGTGAAACGAATCATGTTGACAAGAGATCGTTGTATTTCTATGCTGAAGATGGATAAGTTCCTGGCTGATGCTAATTGGGATCTCGTACAAGCAGGTTTTATAATATCTTTTAAATTTACCGTAGAATTTTATCATAAGGAAGCGTTAGTCGTCAAATTTAACAGGGAAACAGTGTTCATACTTAATCCATTCTTATAAGGAAAGGATAGAGGCGAAGTAGATTTGATAAAGGAAGGAACGCGTTCCTACGCGGGTATATGCTGTTTGTCCGTTTCCGATTTTAAGCACATTTCTTTCATGAAGTCTCGAGGAAAAAATAGGTGTAATGGTTAGGAGATAACACACAAATACAGTATGTAATTATATTAAAGGTACGACGATAAAACATCCATATCAGATACAAATGTCTAAACGTGATGATGATTATGAAGACGATACTTATATGGGCTATCATTATACCACATGTCCGGACTGCGAAAGGGAAATACCTAACGAACCCACTAAGAAAGAATTCGCAGAGATGATGAGGTAAAACAAACTTATAATTCAGAGTACGTAATTATCAGTCCTCTGTCTCACTCCTTTCTTATGCGTAAAAGATGGTAAGGAATAGGGATTTGATGGAGGAGGTGACACATAGGAAGTGGAAGAACTTTTTGTGCGTCCCCTTATCCGTCAATTAAAGGCAGGCACACATATAAGAGGCCTATCAGCAAAAAGTCCTGTGTTAGTTGGTCTTTATGTCGTCTTTTAAAATTCTGGCTCATTTTATCAATCAATGATTACAACTTGCTTCCCTAATATTGTTATAGCAAAATATTATTCTAAAATAGGTTTTGTGGACTCATACCGAAGTTAATTTTGGTAATATAAAAACGAATAGTTTTTTGTATCATTGTAGGGAAGCAAATCAGCGTGTACTTAAAGCTATGAAGATATCTTACTGGCGCCAGTACGAACATGGGAAAATAAGTAAAGATGGAGTAAGGACACTAGTGCAAGCTGTGGAAGTAGCCGCGGACTGTGACGACGGCAGAGTCAATCTGGATCTGCTCGGCACATTGTGGAAACCTAAAGTAATAACGATTAGTATCGCACTTTAAGTGGCCATTAAAGGGGATCCTCAGTGTAGATTTAAGGACCGTAAAATTACTCTAAGTGCGCAAGTTGTTTTTCAGATCAGATTTATTTATTTTTTTTATAAAATAAGGGGGCAAAAGTGCTTCAAAAAAGAGGTGATCATTGACGCCCATGGACATCCACAACACCAGATGCATTGCCAGCGTTTGAGAAAGTCATAGGATAGTTATGATCAAACAAATCAATACAGTCGTTTATTAGTTGAATACTCTCTCCCACAGACTCTGCAAATACATAGTCTGTTATAACATTTTTTACAAAGCAACACTGTGATGTCGCATCGTCCGTGTGGCATCACTCTTAGTAACATTTTAAGGCGCATGCGGTATGGTTACGTCGTAAGTTAATCAAGATGATGACACCGGAGGCTGCCACCGTGCAGATGCCACACAACCGTTGGCGTCAGCTCGCATACCGTATGATCTCCAGTGTATGGTTTGACGGTTTTATCTACGTCATGATATTGTGCAACACACCCATTATACTTTGCGAAGTGGCGCTGCGATCGCCCTCAACGATTGTTATTTACGCTATCAAATCTTTGAATTTGTAAGTTCCTTTAATATAAATTGATTTCACAGAACACTAGCTGTAGCCCCGTTCTCCGTCTGCGCGTAATTAAAAAAAAACTTAATAAGTAGCCTATGTATTCTTCAAGGTTCTACATCTATGTCAAATTGTATCGAGATTCGTTGAGCTGTTCTGGAGATACAACCATCCATTTCAATATTCGCATTTATAATATTAGTCAGATTTTATAGAATGTTAAATATAGATTGTATGAAGGATTGGCTGAAAGAATTGTATGGAAGAGTAGTAGTTATTATGCTGATCCTTCGCAGAGAAAAGGCTCTTAGGTAATAGTTATATTAGCAACAAATCGTCTTAGTATGAATTTTGTATCTTAAATCTCAGTTTTAACGCAAATAAAAGTAGAAATAGACTTTAAACAAAGACACGCAGATTTATTTGGCACAGTATAAAGAAAAAAACAGACAGATCAATTTACATAAAACCATATGCGCTTTCCAGATTTTTCTACATAATATACGTATTAGAAATGATAATAAAAATGATGGCGTTGGGTGTACAAGGCTACTTCAAGTCACATTGGAATAAGTTGGACTTTCTTATTATTGTTATGGCTACAGGCGGTAAGATATTCAAATACAAAATTGACGACATCGTGCAACAACTCTTCCATACGTAATTTCTAAACATCATATAGTTTAGTCCTCGTCCTATGTTATATTACATTGTGGATGATAACTCAAAAATTGCGTGTCTGGTTATAAAAAAAAAAATTGCGTTTGAATAAAAAAAAGAATCTTTAAAATCTGTCTACTAGAAGCGAAGTTCTGAGGTAACAATCGAGAAAAAAGTATAGAATCCTTTTTGAAGTCGGTATACAATACTATACTAAATCAAAACGTTCGTCATTTGTTTTAGATCTAGTCCTTGATGTACTCGACACATTGACTTCTTGGAATAAATGGTCTAATCTTAACTCTAGTGTGTTCACTGCTACTAAATTACTGAGAACTTTACGCTTTTTGAGACTTTGCAAGTTGGCTAGGTATTTAATTTATTAGTTACTAATCACGCTTTTATTAATCTTGCATAAGCATATGGGCATAAGTCCTGGTTAATTCTCTGCTGGACATTGGCCTTCCAAATCATGGTAGTCATTGGAATCTCCAAATATCCAGAGACTTCCTCCCGTCTGTATTAGACCATTAGGGCACCTGGAAGTTTCATCTGTCCAATGGAAGC